ACACGCCTGTTACCCCTTTCTATTTACCATGTCTCCGAAGGGCAAACTGGCGATATGCGGCTTTTGTAAAACTCTCCATACAGAATGGTCAAAAGCTGACCTCTTTATCCTGAATATCGCCTCAGCTTTTACACATACTTCTAATATGCCTAGAAGAGGCATATTGTTGAAAATATCCTATATGATGTCAAGAAAGTCCCTCTTTTGCAACACAAATTATTCGAGCTGGTCTGGCACTGGTCTGCACATCCGGTCCCACATCTGCACCACTAGGGAGTGTTTTGAGGTGGGTGAGGTTCTTCTGGTACCTCATCAGTAGAGTTTCTCGCAAAATCAAGGTTATCTCTTTCCTTGCTTAGTAACGTGAGTAGTGGTATTTTTTCCAAACTTAGTCTGGATAAATAAGCTATTTCATTTAGCAAAATACGAAATATTATTAACATTTAGAAATAATATTGACGAAAGTTTTTATGGTTCAACTGAACTAACATTACAGAGGGAAAAAGGGAAACTGTAAAACGAAAGTGTTAATGGTTGAAACGAAGAAAAAATTAAATAAAAAGGAGAGGAGAAAAGGAAACGACCAGGAAATTTTGGGAACTAGTAAAATGCTTCAACATTGACATCATGGCTATGAGAAAAACACAGTGCGCGTACTTACTGAGAGACATAATAATGTCTTTTCTGCTTTGACTTTGTCCTAACCTGCGAGCAAGCTCTCCGGAGCGCTCTGGTGGTGGGGCGGGAGAAGGAAGCAGAGCTTGCAACTACGTCTCTGGAATTTGAATATCTGCATCGCAAAAGTGGATGCGAAATGCTGATTGGCGGAGATGACATTAGTAACCACGTCATTACCCTTAGCACATGTTTTCAATGTTTGTTTACATTCGCGCTCTTTTCCGCTTCGCGCTGATTGGCGGAAATCTGACAGCTCAGTCGACGGGGAGCCACAGGGGAATCGGAGAGGGAATTCAAATTCCAGAGACGTAGTTTCAAGCTCTCCTTCCTTTCCCCGCCCCGCCGCCAGAGCACCCCGGAGAGCTTGCTTGCAGGCTAACTTTGTCCTAAATGATATTACTTACTACGTAATATTTAGGACAACGCCACTACGGTAAGCCGGACATTAACACCATTCAGACCGGGGTTGGCTTTTGGTGCTCCACGCTAGCGAAAAAGTTGAATAACTTTAAAACTGTTTACGCTTATGACCAGGAAGCAAAAAAAATTAATAAATAAAACCCGGTCTGAATAGGGTTAACACAAGTAAAGAAAATTAAAATGTTTTTTTACCTTAACTAATTAATTTTATACATGTTTTCTTAAATGTCTTGCTATTTTTTTGCTTCAGAATACTTTCAACTTGGTGCATTTTCTTCTGAACAAGGTATTTAGTCACTAGGAATTAAAATTTTAAAGGCCTTGCCACGCTAGTCCATGCCTCTTATTTATAAACATGACATTTTCCAAATTTTTCACAATTCATTTTTTTGAAATCTCTGTTATTATTTGATTTGTTCAGCACGTACATATTTGCCAGTGTGTTGTAAAATGCAACGTTTTGGGAGATAAATAAAGCTTTTCAGCCGCGGCCACATGGTTGAATTATTATTGTTATTTTCAACAAGCATCCCTGCAGTCCCAACCCCTTTTAACATTGGAATCAACCCTGTTTGGTATCTTTAGCAACTTCATGCAGCTTTTGCCATGCACGTTTGCAAAGTCTCCGCAATTGTGCTTCTAAGGTGGCCTGTTACAGTTTTCAG